AAACTTCTCTTGGAAGATCGACAGCAAGAACCTAATACTCCCAATTATAAATGACCTAATTGATGCACAGAGTAAAGGGTCTCGAATCTCCTTTGTATGGATACCCTCACACATAAATATAACCCATCATAATGAGACAGACATTGCAGCCAAACTAGCGTGTAACAAGTTTGAAGTTGAATTAGATCTAGGTATCCCCATCTCTGCTGTCAAAACTGTATTGGTCCAAACATTCAGATCTGATAGGAAAGAACTTACTGACTCCCAACGACCTGAAAGTACTAGTATAAAAAGCTATGATTTGTTCAGATCTGAAACCTACATCTATGGACAGCACAAAACGTCCACTAGACTGTGCGACACAGTGGTTGCAAGGATCAGGTTGGGTTACCGTTACCTGTGGCAGGTGGCTGCAGGTGACGGGTCTCCCAATCCTGAGCACTCCAGTTGCAAACTCTGTGAGCAGGAACTACGGCATGATCTCCCGCACTACATCACTGAATGCCCAGTTATTAGACCTTTCAGACCAGTTGGCATGAGGTACCTGGAGCTTTGCAATTACTTTATTCACTCTCGTATTCTTGAAGATATCCTCACAGTATACCCAAAATTTGCCAGTGCAGGCTATTAAACACATGGCCCTGTATGACTAACCATCCTGCGAGATGGGGACTTGTATTACCACTGCTACCTTATTCAATCTTGTGTTGTTGATATCCTCAAAATGCATCCGGAGTCTGCCAGTGCAGACCGCCTATCACATGTCTCTGTATGACTAACCATCCTGTGTGATGGGGATTTTATAGCATCACCTAGTTAGCTTTTTTTTGACACACTGTACTCCACTTCATATAGTCTAGGGTAGCTGCACTAATGCAGATGTACCTCATAACTTAAAAAAAAAAAAAAAAAAAAAAATCAGGTATACTGTTGTATACTGTTGTATACTGTTGTATACTGACTCCTGATGCCGACGACCGCGCTGCTTCGCCACGGTTACCAAACCTCGTAATTACGAAGTGAAGCCACATTTACTATTCTGAACCCCATCTGTTTATTCTACATTTTTACTATACTATTATCGCTTTCGTTCATATACCTCTTTTAACATTAGAAAATACCAAAATAGATGTAATTTTATCAGAATTTTAAATATTGTTATTTGTTATTATTCAGCCCTCGTTTTAAAGACATATATATTTTAAATTTGCATTCCAATATATATTACTGGAAATTTTAATTCTATCTCCTAAATATCTACAAAATATTACACAGCAATGAATCTAAATTTAGTGTTATTGTGGCAGTCACAGATAAAATATATGAAAGAATGAATGAATGACAAGAGAGAGAGAGAGAGAGAGAGAGAGAGAGAGAGAGAGAGAGAGAGAGAGAGAGAGAGAGAGAGAGAGAGAGAGAGAGAGAGAGAGACTAAGCACAGTCATTTCAGTGTCATATTGACTAACATGTCACCCACACCATCACAGTGCGTTCAGCTATATTACCAATACACCATTTCACACACCCTCCCCTCACCCCCCAACCCCCAACACACACACACTGTACACCCCCTCCCCTTCCCCACAACACACACACACACACACTGCACACCATGGAACCACACAAAGCAAACACTACACACCATGACCCCCCCACTATGCACCACTACACCCACACCATAACCCCCACACTATGCACCACTACACCCACACCACCCTCACTCAGCAGCAACGTCCGTACTGCAAGGCAATACAGCAGCACCTCCACATTGCCTGCCACTGCAACAAGTGGGTTAGGCAACGTCTTTAACATCAATAAGTGTTGCAGCGTGCAAACATTAGACAATCATGCAACGGTTGTATAAGGGGTTTCAAACGTGCAGAAAATGCATACGAACACTAATGAGTAATTATATTACTAATATAAAGACAAGAAAATGTGTGCATTACAGTGCATACAAAAATTTAATAGCAAATTCTTCACCGGTATGAATTACGATGGATGGATGTGGTAGAGGTAGTGTGGTAGAATTATTGGGGTAGAGGTAGTGGGGTAGACAGTAGAGTTGGGGAAGACGGGAAGACTTAGAGGGACCAGTGACGCCACAGGAACCAGATAATATATCTTCTGGGGTGGGAAGTCTGCCATCATATGAGCACATGGAACGTTACATATTAGCGGTGGAGGAAGGGGGCGCTACATATTAGCGGTGGAGGAAGGGGCGCTACTTATTAGCGGTGGAGGGAAGGGGGCGCTATATATTAGCGGTGGAGGAAGGGGGCGCTACATATTAGCGGTGGAGGAAGGGGGCGCTACATATTAGCGGTGGAGGAAGGGGGCGCTATATATTAGCGGTGGAGGAAGGGGGCGCTACATATTAGCGGTGGAGGAAGGGGGCGCTATATATTAGCGGTGGAGGAAGGGGGCGCTACATATTAGCGGTGGAGGAAGGGGGCGCTACATATTAGCGGTGGAGGAAGGGGGCGCTACATATTAGCGGTGGAGGAAGGGGGCGCTACATATTAGCGGTGGAGGAAGGGGGCGCTACATATTAGCGGTGGAGGAAGGGGGCGCTACATATTAGCGGTGGAGGAAGGGGGCGCTACATATTAGCGGTGGAGGAAGGGGGCGCTACATATTAGCGGTGGAGGAAGGGGGCGCTACATATTAGCGGTGGAGGAAGGGGGCGCTACATATTAGTGGTGGAAGAAGGGGGCGCTACATATTAGCGGTGGAGGAAGGGGGCGCTATATATTAGCAGTGGAGGAAGGGGGCGCTACATATTAGCGGTGGAGGAAGGGGGCGCTACATATTAGCGGTGGAGGAAGGGGGCGCTACATATTAGCGGTGGAGGAAGGGGGCGCTACATATTAGCGGTGGAGGAAGGGGGCGCTACATATTAGCGGTGGAGGAAGGGGGCACTACATATTAGCGGTGGAGGAAGGGGGCGCTACATATTAGCGGTGGAGGAAGGGGGCGCTACATATTAGCGGTGGAGGGAAGGGGCGCTGCGGACGGAAGAGACGGGGGTAGGAGGAATGGTAAAGGGAGAAGAAAGAATGGAAAAGGGAGGAAGGGACGGCGGAGAATGGGGAGGGGAGCAGGGTGGGGGGGGGGGAGTTGGAGGAGGGAAAAACGGGGACAGTAGGAGGGGTAAGGGAAGAATGGGAATGAAGGAGGGAAGCAAGAGGGGGAGGAAGGAAAGAGAGGGGAAGGACACATAACTGCTAGAAGACTGGGGTACGGGGGATAGGAGGCAGTGGTGGCTGGAAACACACACACACACACACACACACACACACACACACACACACACACACACACACACACACACACACACACACACACACACCACAAACTGAAGACGACGACCAATATAAAGAGAAACATACTAACAAACACAATACACAGACATGTTACAATTATTTCGAAATTACGATGCAATTGCAAAATTTAAACAAACGTTACTGTGTAATTTGTGTCCAAAAATAAATAATTACTAACCAAAAAAAAAAAAAAATACACAAAATACAAATTTAAGTACAATAAAGTACAATTAACAGGGGGCGTGTATGCCAACATTTCCTCCGGGTAGGCCTACTAAACCTCTCACAACATTTAGCTATAAACATTTTACTTTAAATTCTTCCATCCGCCCTCTTTTGGCATCCCGTTCTCGCAAATTTAATAAGTCAATATTGACTTATTAAATATGTGCATAGGTGACATACTTAACATAATAGTTTCCCTTGAAAAGCTTCATAGAAAACACCGACCTTACCTAACCTACTTAGTATGTTAAGATAAGCATCTTATTGCTTCGTAATTACAATTATTACCTAACCTATACCTATAACAGGTTAAGTAACAATTGTAATTACGAAGCTATAAGATGCTTATTTTAACATACTAAGTAGGTTAGGTAAGGTCGGTGTTTTCTATGAAGCTTTTCAAGGGAAACTATTATGTTTAGTATGTCACCTATGCACGCAACTAATAAGTCAATATTGACTTATTAAATTTGCGAGAACGGGTTGCTTTTGGCGCTTCAACAAATCGTTTGGTATTACCAGCAAAAGGTTATTCTGGAATTAATTACATAAACCGAAAATATCATCTAAGACTTCAATACTTGCCGTTGGCACCACCAAACCACGCCCAGGCTTCAACAAACCATTACACAATCATTTACGAAACCTGTACATCTCTTTCCTTAATCACGGCGGCTTTGTTTACATTTCTTAAAACAGTTATAACGAGGTTCTAAACTTCCAACACAACCCAAGACTTGTTGTTAACAACCACCAATCTCTCAGTGCCTCGCAGAGATCATAAACTGTTCAAGAAATTTCAACCAAGCAGCCCCATGTTTAAGGAAAGATGTACATGTTTCGCAAATGGTGGCGTAAATGCAGGTGGACTCACTAAGGAGACCACTGAGTTAACAAGTGATCGCCAGGTACCGCAAGCGTCCACCTGGGAGAGGCGGGTGACTGACCGCGGCGTGACATCAATTTTTCAGGAGGAAACTATGGGCGTTGTCTCACGACGCTGTGGGAGGGAGTGCATGGCCGTCCTGGGACGGGAAATGCGTGTTCCAGGGGTAAGGGGTAATGTGCGTGTCCCTGGGCAAGGGTAATGCGTGCCCCAAGGCAAGGGCATGCGTGCCCCAAGGCAAGGGCATGCGTGCCCCTGGGCAAGGGCATGCGTGTCCCAAGGCAAGGGTAATGCGTGCCCCAAGGCAAGGGCATGCGTGCCCCTGGGCAAGGGAAGTACACGTTCCCTAGGGCAAGGGTAAGCTTGCAATAACCAAGACGAAGCTACACATAACACAAGGAACAGACAGACGTATTTTGGGGGTATTATAGAAGGGCAGGGAGGGGAGGAGGAGGGGGGTCGTGCTGGGACTAACACTGGGGGGTAACGCCAGACACGACAAGCCGTGCGAGGGAGCGGAGCGGGGTCGGGGAGGGCACGTACATAGACGCCTTCGCCTGTACCTGTTGGCGTGGAGTCGTTGACCCGGATTTTGGGGGTATCGGGACAGAGATGGTGCTCGTCGAGGGAGCTGGAGGTGATGGGCGTGTTGGGGGTAATGGGCGTATTGGGGGTGTTGGGGCTGGTCGTCGCCTCGCCGTCGTCGGAGCGTGAAGAGAGGCGCGCGGACCCCCGTCTGGACTGGTGGGCGTGGTGGCTGCTGCTGCTGCCGCTGCTGGCTCCTGGCAGGGTGGGACTGGACTCGACGGGGGACTTACATGAAGGAGAGTCGTCCTCGTCGACCTCTTCCCCGTCCACGTTCAGCGAGGGACACGACGAGCTCAGGCGGCTCAGGCCACGACCACTCTGTGGGAGAGACGACTGGCGTTAGTGGACGCAGGCCCATAATTACATATACAGTTGATTTACAGAATACATTCACATTCATCATTTCAACTTTATAAAAAATTATTTGAGTGTTGTGGCCGCTACATTTTCTACACTTACATAGTATTATGGCCGCTACATATTCTACACTTACACAGTGTTATGACCGCTACACAACCCTCAATCACACTGTAACACCATCTACAAGCTGGTGCCTCCCAAAACCTTACGCAGAGTGAACATAACACGACTCGCACTGGGAACACGCTAGTGCGTAATACACAAATCCTGGAATCTACCAACGACCAAAGAGGATTGAAAATTCTTGAGCTGAGAGAGAGAGAGAGAGAGAGAGAGAGAGAGAGAGAGAGAGAGAGAGAGAGAGAGAGAGAGAGAGAGAGAGAGAGAGAGAGAGAGAGAGAGCTATCTTAAATATCCTGGAAAATGACTTCACTTCCTTGCCATCAATTCAGATCCCAGAGCTCGCCAAACATCATCAGATAACGACATCTTTACACAGGTCTCCCCGCGACATCTTTACACAGGTCTCCCCGCGACATCTTTACACAGGTCTCCCCGCGACATCTTTACACAGGTCTCCCCGCGACATCTTTACACAGGTCTCCCCGCGACATCTTTACACAGGTCTCCCCGCAAAACGAGAACACAAGAGTTTCACCCAATGCCTTACCCAATGTTTGATTCACCCTACCCGTCTCCATACCCAACCAATTGGACTGGACGGTAGAGCGACGGCGCCTTGCTTAATGCAGGTCAGCGTTCAATCCCTGACCGTCCAAGTGATTGGGGTTATGAACCCCAGGTAGCCCAGTGAAGTGGATCTACCTTGTGAGAATTATTTTACACACATGACTGAATTTAGGAGTCAGAGGAAGGAATTAAACTAAGCAAACATCAGTAAATTATACGTAGAAGAGAGTGAATGTAGAGAGGGAAGCATCTTGTGGAAACAAAGTAAGATGTCGACATTATGGAGTTCGTAAAGGAGGACTTGTGAGATTTGCCTCAAGGATTGACGTACGTCAGTGTCCTCCTTTGAAGAAAGATTATAGTTTTCGGTTAAGAGTTTGAGTGAAAGCTACGTCTACAACGTGTGAGGAAGCTGCCGAGGTCGACGTACGACACTTCTCTGTGATCGTGAACGATATTAGGGGCGGCCTGAAGCCTATATATGGTGGTCGTGTCCTGTGTGAACCCTACTGTGAGGTATTCTTACACTCGCCTTACTGTGAGTGTTTTTGTGTGACGCCGGAACAATCGTGGACATCTTCAAGAGAGAACTAGATTGTTTCCTCCAAGGAGTGCTGGACCAACCGGGCTGTGATGGATATGTGGGCCTGCGGGCCGCTCCAAGCAACAGCTTGGTGGACCAAACTCTCACAAGTCAGGGCCGGGCTTGGGGGAGTAGAAGAGCCCCATCAAGCAGGTATCAAGCAGCAGGTACCTGCCAGGCGACTTCATAGACTCAAGTCGGGACTGTGAGAAACCTTTAAACCAGTCCATGAGGATTTGGTGGACGACCTCCAGTAGCGCCATTTTGGAGCGCCAGTGGACAAGTGTCACAGCACATCATCATTTCAGCGGTTTGTGTGAGAAGTTCGTAGAGGAGCTTCGTGTCTGGTGAAGATTATCTAGAGCAAAGCTTCAGTGATAGAACAGAACGTCTGTGGAAGTGGGGAACTTCGAGTGTAGTGGAGCTACATGTTCTTTGAGAGAAGCCGTATAGAGGAACTTCACGGGCATGAAGTGGGACTTCGAGTTGCAGCAGATATTGAAGAGACTGCCGGAGTACCTTCCTGATTTAAGGACCCAGAGAGACAGATGTTTTTGATGGTGGTCCTCAGGGCATAGAACAGAGAACTCGATGGACACCATGATATGTTTGAGGGAGTGCTTGAATGCATATGGTGAGTGACGGAATGTAAGGTGAGAAAGTTAGTATTTTATTGGAGATATTCTTATGTGCAAGTTACATAGCCACAAGCAGTGAGGAAGCTGCGAGCGGAAATTGAGCAGCAGCCTAACGCAGATTATTTGGTGAAGAAATGACATTATTTGTGTTGCTGGTTCGTAGATTCTTATGATTCTGTATATATATATATATATATATATATATATATATATATATATATATATATATATATATATATATATATATATATATATATATATATATTCCATGTGTGTGTGTGTGTGTGTGAGTGAGAAGAGAAAATTAGTACACACAGGCACTGGACTCATTCAGAACTTTGTATACCTCATATGTCAAACCAATACTGTAATATGCGGCCTTCAGCGTGGAGTCCACATCTAGTCAAACACAAAACGAAGTTAGAAAATATTCAGAGGTATGTCACCCCGAGCTGACAGGAATGAGCTATGAGGAAAGATTTCTGGTGCTGAACCTCACGACACTGGAAGACAGAAGAGTTAGGGGAGACATGATCACTACCTACAAAATTCTCAGAGGAATTGACAGCGTAGATAAAGAAAAACTGTCCAACACGGGTGGTACGCGAACAAGGGGACACAAGTGGAAACTGAGTACCAAAATGAGCCACAGGGACGTCAGAAAGAACTTTTTCAGTGTCACGAGTAGTTAACAGATGGAATGCATTAGGCAGTGATGTGGTGGAGATAGACTCCTATCTTGAGGGATCATGCCTTGAGGTGGTTTCGGGGCTTAGCGTCTCCGCGGCCCGGTCATCGCCCAGGCCTCCTGGTTGCTGGACTGGTCAACCAGGCTGTTGGACACAGCTGCTCGCAGCCTGACGTATGAATCACAGGTACTCCTTACACAGTTTGAAATGTAGATATGATAGAGCCCAGTAGGCTCAGGAACCTGTACACTTGTTAATTGACGGTTGAGAGGCGGGACCAAAGAGCCAGAGCTCAACCCCCACAAGCACAACTAGGCGAGTACCCACACATTCGACCCAAGCCCTCGCCTCTCATCACATGAACCAATCATATGAAAAAGCGTCAGACAATAATATTTTCAGGGGAGATGACTGCGGATGTCAAGCAATGAGTTCCTTTCAGCGGAGAAAAACGCAGCGTGGCACTGTGCGACGATATTTTACACTTTCTAAAGATTAGATGTGTAAAAAAAAGGCACCATCATATTGACGTTTTAGATGCATTAGCTTTGATAAGTTAGGTGGGTTGCCTGGGTGCGTACGTTTCTGGCTATACAAAACTGTTAACATTTAACAACTGTCACATTTGTTAAGGCACAGGTGATAGTTTTCAATTTTTTAATTTTAATGTAACACCAAATTTAAGGTGTGACAAAACGAGTTAACAGGGTGACCTGAGGGCCTCTCCCACTTCATCTAAGCCCCCGGGATAACGGCCATATTCCCTGTTTATGTCTGTTCTCGAAGGACCGAGGCTTACGAAGGTGGACTACGGCGATCGGGTTGGCAAAGTTAAACAGGTAAACAACACATTTTCCAACTCGTATGAAATTTTCAAATACATGTCAACAATGACGTTTGTAATTTAATGACAATTATTTCTTGAGCGGAAACTGGCACTGACCATAGAGAAGGAGTGCCTCAAAAGCAAGTCATTACACTGGCACTACCCGAGGAGCGGCCTTGGCACTGTCGCAGCTGGAGGCACTGGCATTTACGAGAAGAAGCCATGGCGTTACATTGAAATGGGATCAATCCTTTCACTGCCTTTAAGGGGGGGGGGAAACCTCGGTTACCGTTGGTTATGTATAAAGTCATGATGGTGCCACAGAACGCTCTGGCACAGTTCCACGTTGTCCTAACACTGTCACGGGAGCCTTGTCCCTATACTGTAAGACGGGGGGGGGGCGGGCGGGAGGGGAAAGAGACCTTGGCACTATGTCGCAGGAGTAAGAGACCTTGGCACTATGTCGCAGGAGTAAGAGGCCGCGGCACTATCTCGAAAAGGTACAATCACCGCCAAATTGCCACTCTGGGAAAAATGAAAATGTGCACAAAAATCCATAAGGCACCGCAAATCCAGCAGCGAACTGTTATGGCCACCAACGTTATCACTAAACTCAATTTCGCTCCATCATCAGTGAGGACCAACAGGCGTAAACGGCCGACATAACACGGCCGTGAGGCAGCAACTACTCAAAGAGTGCCACTGCAGGACCTCGAGGCAGGAGCCAGCAATCAGTGCCAACAGTGCCACGGAAGGGAGGGAGGGAGGGAGGGCGGGCATGGAGGCCAAACCGTCCTCACGGAACAACACCACGGTCGCAAGCCAGTTCCCACTGGGACCCCCTAGCACGATACGCTGTGTGTTGATAACACCAACTTTATACAATGATTATATGTATATATAGCTGGATGAAGCTATGAAGTATAAGCTCTACCACCGCTGCCACCACAGGTCGTCTCAGCTCTACCTCCGCTGACCCTTGTCTCAGCTCTACCACCACCACTGGCCGGCGTCTCAGCTCTACCACCACTGGCCGGCGTCTCAGCTCTACCACCACTGGCCGTCTCAGCCACAGCACAAACCATGATTCACCCTCTCGTCCTCTCAACTGCCACCCCAGGCTTCTATTATCTTAATCTGGTCTCCAAAGCAGCACCTGTTTGGTATTTTCAGCAACAGACAGGAGAGGAAAATGAGGTAAAAAAATTTAATCTTGCTGCTGGGAGACACTTTAGTGAGGTGGGGCGAGGAGGTGGAAACTCCCCTCTTGCAAGAGGCAAAAAAATTGTAAGTGCCAATATCGCATCTTCTGGGCGGTGCCGAAAATTATATGAAATTTCCGTTTTGCTGAATATCTGAATTGGGGTGCGTGTGTGCGTGCGTGCGCGTGCGCGTGTGCGAGAGAGAGAGAGAGAGAGAGAGAGAGAGAGAGAGAGAGAGAGAGAGAGAGAGAGAGAGAGAGAGAGAGAGAGAGAGAGAGAGAGAGAGAGAGACAGAGAGAGAGAGAGAGAGACAGAGAGAGAGAGAGAGAG